AGAGAGAGAGAGAGAGAGAGAGAGAGAGAGAGAGAGAGAGAGAGAGAGAGAAAGAAAGGGGGAGGGAGGAAGGGAGAGAGAGACAGAGATAAAAGACAGAGACAGAGGGAGGGAGAGAGAAGTATAATCAAGTATTGTACATGTACATGTGCATGTGTACATGTACATGTACACTTATTTTTTCATATTTTAGTGCTTTACAAGATAAGGAGCTCACTCTTGCTTTAAAGGCCCAGTGCTGTTGGACTCTCTCTAACTTTTGTCGTGGAAAAACACCGCCTCCTAACGATGCTATAGTAGGTGTGGTCAATAGGTGTGGTCACCCATAATACTCCTTTTTAAAATTAGGTATTCAAGTGTCTACCTTTCCTCCCACAATTGATATATTGTGAAGAGGCAGAAATATTAAGTGACGTCTGTTGGAGCATATCGTTCCTTTGTGAAGGAAATAACGAAAGAATACAGAGAATAATTAACTGTGGAGTTGTGAAGAGATTGGTAGAACTATTAATGTATGTGTATGTACATGTATGTACTTTCTTTCCCTCTCCTTTTGTCATGCATGTTCATGTACTGTATAGCTGGTAATTTTGGAGAGGAGAAAATTTAATGAATTTGGTGTTTTGATATTTATTTGCCAAAATCAAAGAACCATTATTATGCTCATGCTTGATCAAAAATCGTCACAAATTTGCCCAAATTAAAGCATCAAAAATTTAGCAATTGACCAAAGTTTACCTTCTCCAAAATTACCAGTTGTATGGTTCTATTTATGTCTATTAATTTCTCTTGTTTTTGTTACTGTTGATGCTGAAAGATGATGTCAATAATTGGATATGTTTCTCCTTTGTAGCCTTGTTTATTGGTACTCATAATAATCATTGTTGATCCATCACTGATTATTAGAGTAATGCAATAAGATGTACATATTGGCTTGTGGTTTAGGGTTAGAGTAAAGCCACTAATGTTATCATACTTGTAGATGTGTTTGTGTATTAGACTGGCTGTCTTTGTAGTAATAGTGTATCCCCTAATCATTTTATTAGTGTACATGTAACTTGATACTTATTTTTGTCATTCCTTTTATCCTTTAAACTTTGATCCATTTCTCTTACACTCTCTTCCTTTAATCTTATTTTCTTTCCTACTGTCTTTCCTACTTTAAACCTCCTCTCCATTATTAATGTTACTAGCTACCATACACACATGTACATGTACATGTATGTATACAGTTTCTCTCTATTTCTTTCTATCCTTTTTCTCAATTCAGGCATCCCACAGTAGGCGTTATAACTCCTTCATTAAGAGCTATTGGTAACATATTAACAGGAGATGATGTGCAAACACAATTTGTCATTAACTGCTCTGCTCTCCCTGCACTACAGCTATTGTTAGACCATCCGGTGTCTTCTATTAGGAAGGAGGCTTGCTGGGCTATCTCTAATATGACAGCTGGGAATAAAGTTCAAATACAAGTAAGGGAGGGAGAGGGAGAGGGGGAGAGAGAGAGAGAGAGGAAGAGAGAGAGAGGGAGAGGGAGAGAGAGAGTGTGTGTGTGTTAAAGGGAAAATGAAAGAGAGATAGAGATAGGAAGAGATTAAATAAATTGTGCTTCAATGTTTTAGGCCGTTATAGATTGTAACATATTTCCTAAATTGTTACAAATTATGGAATTCAGTGAGTACAAGATAAGGAAGGAAGCTGCCTGGGCTGTACTCAACACAACTGCTGGTGGGACTCCCTACCAAATAAGGTAGCAACCAAAATAGAGGGACTGGTACATATGTACATGCATGCATGTATCTTTATTGAATTTTATTTTCCTAATTCCCTATCTAGTCCTAACATTATCTTATTTGTTATGTACACATGCTTACATGCACATGTACATGTACTTCCTCCTTAGTCTTATCCACACATTACATGTACACATACATGTACATGTACCTCTTACATAATTTCCTATGTCCTATGTACATGTACATGTGTGTCAGTGTGTGTTTATTTAATTTCATTTTCCTATCTCCTTTCACCAGATATCTTGCCAATATTGGCACTATACCCAAACTCTGTGATTTATTATCAATCCAGGATCCAAAGATATTACTAGTGACACTGGAAGGCCTTGATAACATACTGAAGATAGGGCAAGAGACTGGCAACCAGTTTGCCACTCAAATGGAGGAATCTAATGGTTTGTTGCATGTGGTTTTGTAGCTATTCATCCCATCTGTCCCCTACAATACACTCCTACACATTACATATACCACACACATGCACACACACAAAATCATTAAATCATAAATTTATTTAAATACTATAATAGTATGTACATACAGTACTGTTACTGATTATAAGTACAATGCATCATAGAATTCCAAGGCAAGGTGTGTGTGTTTGTGTCTGTGTCCACTTTAATACTGAGGAATGTCTGTCATGTCCTGTTATTGTGATTAACACCTTTAAATTAGTAATTCACGATATTTACACTCTCCTTTCACCTCTCTCTCCTTCACTAGCTGTGGAAAGGATCGAGATTCTCCAAAATCATCCTCAGCCAAAGATATCTCACATTTCGTCGAAAATTTATGATCGATATTTCTCTATGAGTCCAGACAGCACCTGCCCCTAATATTGGAAAGACACACACTCTCTCTCTTTCTTCATTAATAATTATTATTCATTTCAATCATTCATCATGTACTTTTATACAATATCTTTTTCGTCCCTTGTGTGTGTTTGTGTGTGTTTAGTTGTTTATTATACTTTTAGCAATTATCATTATTATTGTTGTTGTTTAAAGTTTGTCTAATCGTGGATGATTAAGATGTTTTCGCGTTGCATAACAGTTACCATGGCACCTTGTGCTTTTTGGTATTTTATTCCTCTCTTTCTTTGGTCATAAACAGGACGAGCACTTACTATGTGTTTTTACTGCTTACTAATTGGAATGCGGCTTTGTGGATTTTACCCAAATATGGTCATGAGTTAAAATTACTGGCCCCCGCGTGATACGAGTATAAATTCTTCAGACCGCAACTGCGCAGCAACATCTCTCTCTGCGGACTGCTGACTAACTTCTTCTTCTGGTCATATTTTCAAACTATTAGAATTTTTAATCATGGCTGATAGACCAAAGGGATTCGGAATGACTGCTGAACTAAATGAAAAGGTAAACAAATTGATAAGGCCTTCCGATTTATAATCATTGTTGGGTCTAGTCTCGCGCTGGCAATGAAACTGTTGTTTTCAATGTTTTGCAAATTTGGGTCCCACTATTGGGCGGTATCTATTAACGTGTGAGCAGCTAGAGAGTCAGAGAGAGAGAGGCGAGAAAATGGCCAACAGACCCAAAGGATATGGTCTAACTGCTGAGATGGAAGCGAAGGTCTTTTAGAAAGGATTACTAGTTTTATCTTTGTCTCTTTACTCATAGAAAGCAGCAAAATTCGACTCTACCAGAGCTCAAGAGGCCCTCGACTGGATAGAAGAGATTATTGGTGAACCAACTGAAAGTGATGGTACCAGCCCTGAAGGATTTGCTGCTGGATTAAAGAGTGGAGACAAACTCTGCAAGTATGAGAGCAACAGTACTTTACCTTTATGACATTTTGTTTTCTTTACTTTTTAATAGCCTTATCAATATCATAAAGCCAGGCTCTGTCAAGAAAATCAACACCAGTAAAATGGCCTTTAAGCAAATGGAGAATATTGGGAATTTCCTCACCGGTTGTGAAGGCATTGGAATGATTAAGACCGACCTCTTTCAAACTGTTGACCTGTATGAGGCCCAGAACGTTCCACTTGTAGTGGATACTATCCATGCACTTGGAAGAAAAGTAAGCAAGGGGGTTGTGACGCCATTCTTTTATTATAATAATGAGGCCTTCATGAAATTCTCATTTCCTACTTAATGCACTTTACAAAGTACGGTATTACATGATTTTATATTACATTAACAAAAATAGAAGTAATAGTATAATGTCTTACATCAAATTAATGAGAATTAATGGCTAATTGTTTATAGGTTCAAACTTTTCGTGATGATTTACCTATTCTTGGGCCAAAAGAATCTGAAGCTAATAAACGTGAATTTACTAAAGAACAACTTGAAGCAGGAAAGAACATCATTGGTCTTCAAGCTGGTACTAACAAAGGCGCATCTCAAGCCGGCATGAGCTTTGGTACTACAAGGCAAATTAACTAAATCTCTATGGAACTTTTCAAAAACGTTGTCATTATTAATGTAGTGTTTTGAAAATAACAATTAGAATTTCTTGTCTCAATTTTAAAAGCAATTTTAAATCATTAATAATTATTACATCAATACCACGCCTCTTAATTAAATCCAGCTCCACCCAAAAGGGGCTCAGAGCGAGCTGTACTGCAAGAAGACGTTATGGCTGTCCGCCCTAAAGGATATGGTCTTACAGCTGAATTAAATGCTAAAGTAATCAAAAGCAATGCCTGCCTTCAATTATTATTCTAATATAGAAAGATAGCAAATTTGACATTAACCTGGCGCAGGATGCTTTCCTTTGGATTGAAGAGTTACTGGGAGAGCCAATAACTGTACCAGAAGAACCAGAGAAAGTAAAAGAAATACTAAAAGATGGAATCATACTTTGCATGTAAGTATTCAACATTATCTGTTTCTTTGCAATATTGTTACAATAGGTTAGCTAATCTAATACTACCTGGATCCATTGAGAGGATTAACAGAAACAAACTTAAAGCTTTTACAATGGTGAATTGTTGATTGATTATTTTATTCCACAGGGAGATCTTTATTTTGTCTGGTAGTAATAATTGACTCTCTTTGTCTCTCTTCCTCTGCAGATGGAGAATATCAGTAACTTCTTGTCATTTTGTGAAAGGTTTGGTTTAAAAAGGAGCGATTTATTTCAAACGGTTGATCTTTATGAAGGACAAAACATACCACAAGTATATATAATTAATAATTATTATCTTTTACTTATCATTTTATGCACAGGTGATTAGTACAATTCATGCTTTAGGACGTAAGGTACATACATGTACAAAGACATAACAAACAATTGAGTGCACAATATATAATAGAGTGACACCTGCACTGTTGCACTGTGTTACCATTGGATCATGCTCTCTCTATGCACACCCACACACACACACACATGCATGCATTACTACACTATAATAGGTTGCTATAAAACGTAAAGATCTTCCATCACTTGGTCCTAAAGAATCAGTCAAAGCTCCAAGAACATTTACCAACGAGCAACTGACAGCAGGACAGCAGATCATTGGGTTGCAGATGGGGTCAAATAGAGGAGCTAACCAATCAGGGATTAACTTTGGACTGCAAAGACAAATATTTAACAACTAGAAAACCACAATTAACACATGCTGCTATATTTAACATGAGTGCTCACTGTAACAAGGCATATTAACTTCAACATGCATGTAGTGTAGTGTGTGCAACAGTCCAAGACACTCTTCATATTTAAAAACATAATCTTATTGCAACTATACATGTACATGCATAAGATAGAGTACTGACATTAAATGGGTGTATATTATCAATGTGCATCTCCTTCAAGGCAATGATAACCCATTATGGTTTTAAGCTATATGGGATCTCCTTATATTGGTACATTTCTGTAAAGGCTGGTTTAAAATCTTACACTTGGCCTGACTTTAAAGCTGCTCAAAAATCAGGCTAAAATCATTTACTATAACATGGTACTTTGTCAAAAATGACTAGAATAAATTCTCAATTTTTGTCTAATACATAACATGTTTTTATGTTGTGTAGAAATTTTGAGCAGCCAATGATCAAAATTGTTTTTTTATTATTGTTAAAGTTGCTCAAAAGCCCTTATACTATAAAAGGCTTGTCAGCTTATATGAAGCTCATGTTTTTTAGCTTGCTCAGCTCCCTTTAATCATTACATGATAATTTGTATGACCTAAGAGTCACAGTGAAAACTTTTGAAGTTGGCAATTTTCATTGCATGTTTACAAAGTATGGACATACTTCACTAATGATAATAACAGTCATAATAGTATTGATAATAGTAATGGTAACTGGTAGTAGGCTACAACACATCATATCATTGTCTATTCTGGTAATAAGTCATCCCCTAACTCAACATCATCAAAATTATCTTCACTTTGCTTTGCAGCTGCTTGATGCGATCTACTTGATGTTTTTGGTCTTTCAGGTAGCTCACCTAATTATTATCATCATTAGATGCAATGATAATTTATCATTAATACCTAATGGATCAGTGTAATTAATATCTGGTTGTTTTGGATCACCTATAAATATAATTATTAAAAATATATACATGTAGTATAATAATTATTAATTTATTTACCATCACTCTGTTTGTCTTTATCATGCTTCCTAGTATCACCATTATCTACTCCACCAGTCGATTCGTCTTTCTATAATGAGTATAGAGTCATGTACATGTACAATGTATCATGTGTATAAATGCCAATATTTAATACAATATAATCTACATGCATGTACATGCAAGTGAAAATGTAAAATTAAAGCTAATAATATTTCTGGAGGGAAAATTTTCAATATTTTGTCAAAATAAAACCTGGCATATTAAACCATAAGCACATGCTCAATGCCAAAATTTGCAAATTTCTTAAGACCCAAAAATTACCAATTCACCAAAATTTCTCCCTCTCTCAAAATTACCAGCTACATGTAAATGTACACATGTAATAGTATTAACTGTAAAGCTACACATTCATACACTAATAGGTCGTATACCGTATAGCTAGAATCTTTTGTGACCCAAAATTTTTGTGAATTTCATGATTTATTCAAAATTCACAAAATAAAATCCGTAAAAAATGGTCCAACATGGACAAAAAGGCAGAAAATCGTGAAATTTAAAACCACAAAATAGAATTCGTGAAAGTTTCTGGCCATAACAATTTCTCGCTATACAGCACAATAGTGTAAATAGTTGATTACTTGTCTCTTAGCTTCAAGTGATTTCTCTGCTCTCCTCAACAGCTCATTGTAATGTGCTGACTCATCATTCAATCCTTGATCAGTTGATAAGCGTACAAGGAACCTCAAGCAGTCGATATTATTAGGAAAGGACTTCAATATGGACTTGTAACAGCGATAAGCTAACTGATAGTTACCTATAACAATGCAACAATGTAAAAAATTATGATAATTACTTTAAAATTTTAATGTAATATATAAAATATGGAGGTACAATGTACATGTACATGTACCTGTACTTAGTGTACATGTACATGTATATTGCACACTGGCTTATTTTGAGGTGAAATATTTTTGTGAGTTGTGTGACAGCATCCTCCCCCATTCAGAAAATGTAACTCCACTAAATTATCATTATTTGCTGGAATATTTATTCAAGAATAAAAATTAGAAGTATTTTCATAAAAGACCTTATATAGCACAAAATTTTTGAGGGCTGTAAATTTCGCAAATTTGACTAAAAAATCTATTTTGCGAAATTAATTTTTGCGAATGTATGTTGTCTACATCTTGTACCGTAAAAATTTGATTTTCGAGAAGTACACGTCATTTTCCTGAATTTAAAAAAATCACGAAATCCATAAAATTTATAGCCCTCTAAATTTTGCACTATATGGCATTTAAATAGTACAAAATATTTCACTCACAAATTCCTTAATATTAATGATAAAATACTTGTGCATGTACAGTACAAGTTAGAATAAAATTAATTACATTAATTTTTCTTACCCATTTTTCTGTAACAGCTAGCAATCATTAACTGCCAATTGACCTGATCTGGTCTATAGTTAACAAACAATAATATAACCACAGCATTACCATTATACATGTACATGTACATGTACATGTTGTACTTAAATTTATACTATCATAACTTACTGTATTAGTGAAGCCTTTTCAAAATATGTTGCTGCTTTGTCAAAATATTGTGAGTCCATGTAATAAGCACCAAGCCACGTAATCACTTCAATGTTAGTTGGACAATAACGAAATGACTATATAAATGAAACACATGCAGTAAGTATAATCATGTTATGACTGGATTACTTCATAAAACATAGTACAAGGACCATTTTGGCTTTTGTCAAATTTTTGGTGAGATTTTAAAAATTCATAAAAATCCAATTTTGATCGGAAGTAGCTCAAACTTTCTACATGACATAAGAACATGTTTATGTATTAGAAAACATTATAAAAATGCAGAACTCTCTCCGTAAAATTTGTGAGAAATTTCGGCAAAAGCTAATAAAGTACAGGGACTTTTGGCCCTAGCTATTTTTAAAGAATTTAAAAGATATACAACATTAGAATGTAATCAACTACTTCATAATAATAATGATAAGCTTGTGATCTGTCATTCTCCGAATCATATAATTCTCCTAGTTTTCTCAGCACTCCAGGATCAGAGGGTACCAGTGATATCAACTGCTTGAAACTAATGACAAAGAGAATTAAGCAACTTTAAATACTAAAAAATTACCAATCAATAGCTTTATCATATTCTTCCATTTTCTCATAACTAAATGTAAGGCACACAATTTATAGTTAAGAAATAACTTATTGCCACAAAATTTTGTACATATACAAGTAATACAACTTTTCTACGTAATTATACATTGTACGTACAATTGTACCTAAAAAAATTGCTGAGTACTAAATTTTGCTGGGCCATCCATTCACAGAATTTAGCTTTTGCTACAAAACAGATTGATTACCATAAATTTCGTAAAAATCGCAAAACTTATAAATTGCGACACTTACATGTACACATGTAAATGTCAAAATTAAATAGATACATGAACATACAAAATTAAAATTGCTTTATTATATTGAGTATGGATGGATACATGTCAGCTATTTGGTACAGAACTTGAGGTAAGCTCTTGAATATTGTATGGAGTTTAGTGAAACAGCTCAGGGCTGATGGAAAATTCTTTAACTTTTTGTAAGCCAGTCCAAGATTATATAAAGCTTCGGAACAAGTAGCTTCCACAGACAAAGCCTCTTGATAATACTCAACTGATGACTGATACTGACCTTGAGCATAGAGGCAGTTACCTTTATTAACCAATGCTAGTTTAAAAAAAGAATAATAATTAATAATAATAATACATGAACATGTAGCAGCAGCAGTAGTAGTAATATTAGTAATAATGACAATAAAAAAAGAATGATAATAAATAATAAAAATACATGTACTGTACATGTAGTAATAATACATGTACCGGGGTACATGTATAATCATTATTAATGTTATTAAAAATAAAAATGATAATAATAATAATAAATAACAATAATAATACAATATGACATACATGTACCTAATGGATTATATCTATCCATTTGTATTGCCAGATCAGCATATTTCTCAGACTGACTAACATCATTGCTCTATAGAATACAAATGGAATATCATTTGCCATACATGTACATGTACATGCATGTATATGTACATGCATGTACATTATACACGAATTGATACACTTACCAAGTAGAATACAAATGAAAGATTAGTTGATGCACTAACGGCCATTTTGGTATCTCTCCTACCACAATCCTTCAAAGTTTCAATTGCCTACATGTACATGTACATGCACATAATATCAATAACATTAATAATGACATGTACTGCATGTACATGTACATGTACTTGGTATTTTTACCCTTACCCTGGGTAGGTCTTTCTCTCTTAGAAATGTCAATGCTTTTGTTATTTCAAGTTCACTAGCTAATTCAGAATGAACTGAATTCTTAACAACTTCAATGCACCTACACAATACACAGTATTCATGTAACAATACAATAACAAAGAGACAGGGCCAGAGAAAGGAAACACTGTATAATACATTTGTACATGTACAAGTTGCAGGAATTTTTGTCGGGAAAAAATTGATTACATGTAGACACTATTTTGTTCTGTTTATTTTCATTGAAAGCTGCCAATTTGTACTGTAGACGTGACATTGAGGAACACCTTTTTTGCTTAGAAAATGTTTGTTCCCCAAGGAATGAGAATAAAAATACCAAAATTAAATTCTGAAAAATACATGTACACCCAAGTGCTATAAAGTAAAGGGTGAAGAGAGGGGATACAGTGTACATATATGTACATGTACAGGTACATGTGCACATGTATATGTACATTGTAACTAACCAATCAAATCCAGTAGCAAGAGACCCTTCAATAACTGGTGCGATCAGTTTGGCAGCATTCAGTATTGTCCTCTCAGCTTTTCTTTTTGTTTCCTTCTCCAATCGTCTCAAACTGTCATCACTTATTGCTTCTATCAGCATCCTCTGCTGATAGTCACTTTCCTATTTTACAGTAATTATGAAACAGTGCTATTCTTATTACTACATTTACATGTACATATACATGTACATATACAGGTACTTTTAGTAAAGGTTTTTAATAGTAACTCCATGTATATAACTAAAAGAACACTGCATTATGATTTTGTCCAAAAATTGGCTCTGAAAATCACCCCCAATTTTTATTACATTTTCTAATTCTTTATGCTATGTACATGTACATGGAAAAATTGAGCTGATTCCAACGAATAATTTTTGAGTTATGAGCATATAAAGAGGAGTCAGTTTTAAAAAATTTAAAGGATACATGTACATGCAGCTAGTGCTGGTAATTTTGGTGGATTGAACTACATAAATTCTATTGATTGACTGGCTTTAGTTTGGCAAATTAATTTCATGGCCATATGCCATGGAGCATGCACAAGCATACATGTACTGTACATGTAATGAATGGGTTTTATTTTAATGAACGGTTATCACACTGCCAAAATTCCCCCTTACCAAATACAAGCTACAAATGCACATGTACATGTACATATACAAGTTTATAGTGAATTACAAAAAGTTTATCATAAACCATTCAAACTAAATGTACATTGTGCATGCATATGTACATGTACATGTACATGTGTGTACATGTACATGTACACACACATATAATCAACGAAAAATCTATTAAATTTACAACAGTACATAAACACAAGTCAGCATTAATTGTACATGTACATGTACAAGTATATAGGCCTGTTTCGATTACATGTAGAAGCCTGGGGGCCTACGTGTACATAAAGTAATTGGAAATCCTCAAATAGAAACCTATGTATGTACTGTGTACAAATTAAAGACAGAAATTGAAGCCTGGGCTTCTACAATTAAGAGTATACACTATGTAGTATTTACTATTTATTAGTACAATGTAGTACAGTGTAGTGTATTACCGTATAGCTGGTTTATTTTGTGTGGAATTAATTATCGTGCAGGCCCAAATCCACTAAAATTAATTCCACTAAATTTTATTAAAACCAATTAAATATTAACAAAAATTTAGCAAGGCACTAAAATTAATTCTAATGAAAATTTAAGCAACAAAAATTTGAGGCCACAAAATAAACCAGCTATACGGTAATTAAGAATGGGCTTACATCAGTAGAATAATATCTATCATCATCATAATCAGTTCCGGTTTCAATTAATATCATTCTCTGAAAGTGTCTTTTTAGCTTATCAACATCTCTTAAAGCATAATAGCAGAGCAAGAGGTTCATTGCTACAAGTGAAATAACAACAATAAACATTGATAATCATTACAAATTAACAACTAACGTATGTCAAATACATGTACATGGTATACGTGTACAATGTACAGTATATGCACATGTAAATTGTACATGCATGTTTTTTCCATTGTACATGTACAGCAGAGCTCAGGGCCAAGTTAATACACTTACGTTATTTAAACGCTTACAAAACGGTACTGTCACTAGTATGGTTTATAGTTCAGATTTTAAAGTATACTTTATACGAGATGTTTATACCGTAACATTATAACATGATACGCTACATGAGCATAGCATTATACAGTAGAAATGGTGAACTAACGTTAAACTAATGCTAAATGTTCAAGTATTACGTATACAGTAAGTGCTATGGTACGTACATACTTAATACGTACGGGCAAGTTACAGTATGAAATTGCGTATCAAAGTTAACTTGGCCCTGATCTCTGCTGTACATGTGTGTACATTATGCATGTACACGTACATGTAGTGACCCTATAATTTATAAAAATTTTTGAAGTTACTCAAAATTGGGTTAGAGTTCCTGTAATAGTACAGGATCTTTGGCCAAATTTTGCCAAAAATGACTAGGAGAGAATTCTGCATTTTTATTACTTTTCCTGATGCATAAATGCTCTAAATGTTGTGTAGCAAGTTTGAGCTGATTCCGATCAAAATTGAATTTTTTTTATAACATTTTTAAAGATGCTCAAAAAGCCATGTACATGTACGTACAATGTACATGTACATGTACATAATATTGTAGCGCTTGTCAGCTCATGAAGGATATGCTTCTAGCTCACTTAGAATGCTTTGTGGGAAACCTTTTGTACATGTATAGTATGATATAGCTATACCAGGTACATGTATACTATACATGTATATACATGTGTACATGTACATACATATGTATGCATTTCCTTACCAACATCATAATTCCCATTTTCCTTCATTTCACTCATTAAATGTTCATAAGTATTAATAGCATCATTATACTGTCCCATTCTGATATAAGCTGTACATATGTTCTGTAGTATATGAAACCTACAAATGTACAATGTAAATACTAAATACATGTACATGTACACATGAAAAGATTTAGATCTAGAAATCCAAACTTAATACCATTAATTGTAAGACAATAAATATTTAGTAAATCAAAATAATAACTAAATGTACATGTACATGTACAGTACATGTACGTCACTTAGAGCAACTTTTAATTATGGGTACAATGTATTCTCAATAAATTTGTGATCATACTAAACTAGCGAAATATATGGTCTATAATTATTATGACATATTTCATGTGTACAATGATAATTATAATCTTATTTCAATAGCAAAACTAGCAATTAAGTACATGTATAGTAGTATCTCTAATGGAGTAATTAAAAATCATACTACATGTGTAAGTAAGAGTACACACTATACCGTAGTGTCCTGTGAGTATCTGGAATCTGATCCAATGCCATCCTATAGTGTTTAATGGCCACTGGATATTTCTTCTGCTGAAAGCAGATGTTTCCCATATTAACTCTTAGCCTTCCTCCACTGCCAAAGAGCTTGTTCTTCACAATTAGGAGGTAAGTATTGAGTGCTTCATCATATAATCTATTGACGTGGTATTGGTTGGCCAGATTGAATAATACCTACAATAATGTATACACACATGTACATAATAGATACACCTTTATTATGAATGAATGAATGAATAAATACTCAAGGGCCACCAATAGGGAGAGCAAGTGGGGTGTTTTGCTTTGGGCTCCCATGAATGTGTACTCAAGGGCTGACATAGGGGGGGGGGTTGGTGGCCAGGGCATTTTGCCCTGGGCCCCCCAATCAAAGGGGGGCCCCCAAGGCTCCAAGCCTAGCTTGGTCAATAGTAAAGCTTTCTACAATGGATCATGGCAGCACTGGGGGAATTTGTATTAGTAGAGGCCTTAATCAAAGTTTTGTCCTGAGTCCCACATAGCCTATTGGCAGCCCTGTTAAGTGTACTACAATGTACATGTACTATATACTATATCCCAACTGAGTTTGACCCAAGAAAAACTGGAATAACTTTTTATAGGAATGTGAGATAAGGATGAGACTTTCACAGGTTCTTAGTCGCCCAATGCCATCACAGGATCTCAGGTCTTGGGTCTCTCAGCCCTTGGGAATCCTGAGAACCGAATTCTCCCTATAAACCCAATGGCATACTAAAATGACATTTTATAAAAATATGTCTACATCGTAGTTTACATAAGAACACGTGGTCGAGCACCCAAACTAGTGACGTATGGCTACATTTTTCAAATTCCAAGCGACTGCTGTCAAACTCAGTTGGGATACAGTATACATGTATATTCATGGTCTAGCTTACTGAGTATGTTAAGTCAAGATTAATTTGTTCAGTTAATAGTTTCTGTTCTCTTTGCTTGCAGAGCATTCTCTCTTTTCTACTGGCCTCCTTAGCTAATTCTAATGCCTGTACAACAACAACAGTAATAATAATAATAATGATAATAATAATGATAATGATAATAATAATAATAATAATGATAATAATAATAAAACTATACATGTACATGTACATGTATTTCTTAAGTTATTTTATGCTGCTTTCCTTTCAAAATGATAATCCAATAATGACAGCAATAAGGTTATTAATTGTCTTTACATGTACATGGATTTACAATAAACTTTCATCAAACTGAACTGGCTTTCTTGCACACAAATCACATACAATATACAAGTACAAAGTTAGTAATTTTGAAGGGGAACATTTTGGCAAATTTGATATAACTACTATGTACATGTACATGTACATATATTCACCAAAATAAGACCTTTTGAGCCATTACATGTACATATACATGTGCATCAATGGCACCAGGCTAAAAATTGGTTAAATTAAAACCCGCCAATCATCAAAAATTTAGCCAATTTACAACCTCCAAATTTACCAGATGTACAGTATGTCTACATGCAATAGATTTACATGTATCTAAATCTACATGTACATGTACATGTATCTAAATCTACATGTACATGTACATGTATACAATTATTGTAATAATAAAATAACTTACTAGAGTATAGTTTCCTTTTACATTAGCATCGGCACTTTCCTCCAGTAGTGAATTAACTTTCTTTTCCAAGTTATTGATAGCTATTTCAGGATTGTCCTCAGGATTGGGCTCAAGAGAAGGAACTGATATCTTTGTTGCTGACGTGCCACTACCTTGACCCAGTGGATCAAAAACACCTCTATCTATTGAAGAAAAATTACACATTAATATTATAATGGGTGCAACAAGGCTCCTGATACTACTGTATACATGTACATGTATAGGTACATGTACGTCTATGTGTACATTGTAGGTTGTAACTTTGGAGGAGGGAAATTTTTGGAATATTGATAGCCTTACATTTGCCAAACAATTTTGAAAATAATGTATGTGTATGTTCAATGGTGCATGGCCACAAATTCACCAATTAAAAGCCACCAGATCAGGGTTTCCCACAGGATTTTGCTATAGCATACTTGACTTCCTGCTATTTACATCGTAAAACATCCTCTACAATAGTATAGGGTATACATGTATGTACATGTACATGCATTTGTCAAACATGGCTCTAAGAGAGCTTTTATTATATTTCTGATATGGTATATACATGTTCTTATGTTGTGCAGAAGGCTTGAGTTGATTCTGATCAAAATTTGATTTTTAAAAAATTTTCAAAGTTACTCAAGAATTGGGCCAAAGTCCGTGTACAGGGTCCTTGGCCAAATTTTGCCAAAAATGACAAATGACTAGGAGAGGATTCTGCATTAATTTTTATAAGTATTTCTAATACATACAAGTTCTTATGTTGTGTAAAAAGTTTGAGCTGATTCTGCCGCCAGTGAACAAAATTTAGTAATTTGCAAAAAATTTATCCCTCCAAAAATTACCAGCTATACAATACAGTACAAATTCAATATCGCATGTAATTCATTAATGTTTATTGTACATGTACATGTGTATGTACTGCATGTACATGTACCTCTACTGAATCCAGCAGCTCCGGTTGATGTCATTGGTCTTGCTGACCCACCCTCAGCTGCATAACCAGTTGGAGGTCTGACTCCACCCATTCCAGTACCAAGACGAAACTACAATAATAAATAAATAAATAAATTAATTAATTAATAGTTATTAGTGTAGGCTATAGTTTGTTCATTATCCTAATAGAGTGCACATTTGCCTCAAAATTTTGAAATTAAAATTAAAATTGAAAAGCTCAGGTCAAAACGTCAATAAAACTATTTTAACAGAATTGAGTTATTACACTATACACAGTAGATGCTTAACTTTACCGTATAGCAGAAAATTCATGGCCACAAATTTCTATCGATTTCACTTTTTCAAAATTTTTGAAATTACAGTTAAACATGGCTGAAAAATAGGAAATCACAAAAATTAAAGCTTGAATTTTTAGGCCACAAAATTTTCTGCTGTACGATACTATAAATCAAGGCGTCCACACACATTAGTGCCGGTTGGTAGCCCCCCTCTAGTTCCTGGAGGAGGTGGCCTCTTCTTTCTTCCTTGCTGGGTGCTAATCACTCTTTGGAATTCAGGATCTTCTCCCAACTCCTATTAAAAGGAAGGACAAGGTTCCTAAAATCCAAACACTTGAACTCACATCAACTGCAAAGTCCTCGTATCCTTTATAGAGATCATCCTCTCCTTCACTGGCCAAATGAACGTTCTTCAACAAGGACATGTTTCTCAATAATGGTGGAATTTACTGATCAATAAATCACAATGTTTATTATGTTACTATGGCAATATGCTAATTAGAAGCTGCGCATGCGCAGTGCGTGCTTGAAAGGGACATCGGACTACTGGAAATGAACAGTCGGGAACTCGGGATGGCACCGATGGCTTACTAATGGATACATACATGTACCTGTACCTAGGGATATTCTTCCATCATCATAGCTACAGAAAGGTAATGTATTTTAGGAGACAGCATTATATTCATAGTCCTTTGAAGTACGTCACGTGATCTCTTTTATAATAATTATCTTAATGAGCTCAATTGACCATTGACCTTCATTATCGTGTCGGACTGTCGCTGCATGCCTCGTCTTTCCTCCCAGTTCCTCCTCCCACAGTCTGCAGAGAAGGAGCCGGCCTTGTCTGCTTTGTCTCCCAGTCTCCCTCTCTCCTCTCCCTCCAGTGATGGCGTTTTTCAAGAACCTGTTCAACAGTGGAGGAGATGCAAAACAGGACTACTCCTCTAAGATACCAGACAGACTCCTGCCTAAGGATTTCCAAGTCCATCAGGTGATAATTGCTATTGTATTTTATAAATCACATAATGATCATTATTGCTAGACTTTTCAACATGGTTTTCCATATCAACCGTCTTGTCTTGCGTATGATTCTGTTCA